TTGATCAGTCTATTTAAATTAACACTATTATAATGCTGTCGAAACTCACCTATTAAAATTGCGTCTTAAAATTATTTTCTCAATTAACTTTTTGACTTTTCACAAATAATTATTGTTAAATTAATGTAGCGGTATTTTTACGCCATATTTATTTGTAGCGTCAAAAGACACCTTTTCATCCAAATAGGTATGCATGAAACCGCGGTAGAAATAACGTTAATAAATACACCGTGGCCATAAAATCTTGAGCCGCCTTTGAATTACAAGTTCGATGTAATGTGCCTTGGACATAATTCAATTGAGGTATCTAAATATCGATTATCTCGTAAATCAGTGTACGTGTAGTATTAGGCGAATACTAAATTATGCTGATAATAACACACCTCTGTAAATATGAATTGATGGACGCAACCAATAATGAATTTATTTCAAAACGAGCGCAGTCTTTCGTAGTTTGACTATTCGAATTATTTAAAAAGAGTATGACGCAGCGCGTGTTTCGTGTAAATAAGTTGGATGTCAAACTTGAAACACGACGCGTGAAAATCAGGATGTTGTATAAAGAGCAAAGTTTGTTAAAAAGTTTATCGATGCGAGTTGAGCGCAGCTACGTGGAGTTACGATTGTTACGAAGTTATGAGCACAGTTTCTTGGGTGGAAAAATTTTGTCGCGTTTCTTTTTCAACGCTTCATTGGTAGTTAGTTCAATTGAATTTTCTCCAAACGTGTACGTGGACCAAAGTTTGCAACAGAAGCAAACCTGACAAGTAACTGCTTGATGGGCTAACATGGCTCTGGGAGCGAGTTGTTACGGAAGACTACCCGAAGCTCCAACTTGTCCTTAATGTTTCGAACTACTGTTTAATCTTTCCGACGGTATCTCCATAATAATCGCAGGTAACGCGGCTCGTCATTGTTCATATATCTGCACTACAGTATTTAAAAAAAACAAAAAATTAACAGACTTTGGGTGTATATTGCGATGAAAATGTTTCAAACAAAAGTTTCATGATTTTCAGGGGATATATTTTGATTTTATATTGACAAAGACACCTTCAATTTTTCAATAGAATATCCAATATTTTTCTTTCGATAAAAATTCAAATTCTACGTGTAAAATTATTGTATCATGTTTGGTATGAAATTGATGGGTACTGAGATATTATTAAAATAAGTTCTTTATTGGTAAATCAACTTTGTTTACAAAGGTAGGTTATGTTCGTAAATACGGTCATTGTTAGACATTATCAAATACAACTATTAATTTTAGACCATATGTGGTTTTATCGAAATTTGAGGAGAAGTAATTTAAAAATTGAACATGATGCGCATTCGTAATATTTTCTACATTGTCTTCAGCAAATTTAAATTGTACTCAACTTTTTTTTCGTTCTTCAATTTCGGATAAAAGTTAAATCAGCATTTTTATTTCGGGAATTAAAGCTGTAGGTCGAAACATTTAAGTGCAAGCAGACCATACTTACGAAAGCTACATATTTAATTCATATTTAAATGCAACAAGCACTACATATTATATTATATATTAAATTAAAAGAATTGTTTACATCGTTTATAAATGATTTTACATGAAATAACTTTGAATATGTATTGCGAGCTAGCAGGGCGAATTTTATTTCAAATCCTCTCAAAGTTGTAACACCCAAGATAGGACCTTTCCGGAACACGTTCACTCGTAAAATTAATATTGAACGATTATTTTTACCGCCAGAACGAGTGGCGTTCAATGATTTTTATGATCAAATGTTATGCATTTCGTTTCGTTCGACATTTGCGATAAAATTGTTTTTAATTCGTTTTAAAAAACTGTTCTCTGTTCGAAAAATTTTATTCTCGTATTCTTGAAGTATGATGTACATTAGATATAATGGAAAAATAATTAAATAAGAAATATATATGCAGTTCCAATAAAAAAAATTGATTTTATATTTATTTCGTTATTTGTCTTCAGAGACATTAGACAGTTAATTATCGTTTCTTAAATCCATCGATTAACACGAATACATTAACTATAGACTTTCGAATTTTTATTCCTGGATTCTTGCCATCTTTCCATGGTTTTAAATCGTCGTGAGACGTGACTAACCATTGTACCGTTGTATAAATCTTATTGAAAAATAGTGCTTGTCCGTAAGAAGAAATATGCGCGCTTTAACACTTCTGTTTCGAAGCTGCAATCGTTCACAGAATCTTCCAAACTAGCCATTAAACGGCCACACACGTTTCCAGCCTGTCGTTCATCAAACCTGCAGTATGCCAGACTTTATGGCACCAGAGCACTGCGATACAACGCGAGGGAGCCGTATGATACCTTTTACAACCCCACATACTTTATAATTACCATGTAAACATCAACTGTAGCGTTACAAGCTATCGTATGATAAATCGTTACGTCTGTGGTTTCTGTTAGCACGTTGACTGCCAGGCAAAATTCACTCGAAATTTTCTACCGAGCTAAAAGAAAGGTTTGTCTTCAGATAATTAGAAATTACATAGCCTGAATATTTTTGTAACTTTGTCGTAATTTATTTGTTTCACCCAAATTTATTTTCTCCGGACATCTCACATTGAAAATTAATTTTTTTGCTTTCATAATGAAAAGTTCTGACATATGTAGACATTATAAAATAAAATTTAAATCTTCTTGGTTTGTTTTCGGTGCAAACAATTAATTTTCCATTTATTTTATTTCATTTTACGTTGCATGCCCCCTTTTGGTGTATTAACGATCACAATTTGTATAGTTCGTTTGCACTGTATAGATATACTCCTTTAATAGGATTTCTTTGATAGGTTTCCCTTACAAGCGCTTACTTTTTTGGGGAATTGGTTTGTCTTTGTTGTCTTTGTATAACTTGGTCGATTGTTTGCAATATTAGTATTCCGTATTTTGCTTGAACGACTCCTGTACTCAGATGCTACGTTTGCTATTTGTATTGGTGGTGCAATTGAGATATCGGTCTTACTTTGTTTACGGTCTTCACGGTGATGAACACAATGTCCTTAACCGTCGTTTCAGTACTTGTAGAGCTCACGGGACACGTCTGTCCGTCACACCAGTTTGTTCTCGACCGATGAAATAATTAATGTTGTACAATTTATAGTACGCGTTAAAAATATTTAAAATTGTATAATTTCTCGTTATTTATCTTAATTATTCTTTTTACCATTTCACCCCATTCTGTTTCTGATGGCCGAAGAGGAAGTAATATCATAGCTAATGGAGATCGACGGCTTCCTGTAAAGCATTCTCCAGTTCTATTATCGTTAGTTTGGCTTTAGTGAATCTTTTTTCGTTTGATTTTAATTGTCATTTTCTTCCGTTGGAATCTAGTAGTTACATATGTATTACGGATTGTAGACCGAGCCACATTGATATTTAGTCTATTAAAAGAGTTTATACCAGTCAACTTTTTCAAATGCCAACATCTCAACTTTGCACGGTACAAATATTCATATATTCTCTGTTCCTCTAGCGCTAGAAGCTCTAATTCTGCTCTGTCTAAAGGGAAAATAATTAATTCCACTCGATGTTCACACAACATTCGAACACAACTTTATTTTGAAAACTTCACGAACGACCATGCACAGCTCCAGAAGAATAGTTAGCAGAGGTTTCGAAATAATTCCCCGATGATTACGCTAAAGAATTCCTTTACAGTTCAGTGAATTGAAGTAAAACGGGAAGAAAGACTGAGATTAATGGTAGTGAAATGTAAAATTCTCCCGGGATATTGAATTTCAGAGACCTAATGCAACTTCCTCTTTAATCAAGACCAAATCCACTGTCGATCGACGGGGTATTAACGAAATTTGTAACTTTAAAGAATTTTAACAGTTTCTTAAATTTCTATTACAGAAATCTTTGTAAAGGTAGTAGAATTAAAAACTTATCCAGGGTTTTGTAATTACTTCCTGAACGATAGAATGATTTTCATAGTCACATTCAATATATAAATTCAATCATAGTTGTTCGTGTAGATTATTTTTGCTGCTAGCGAATCGATCTATAAATTTGTTAACTTCGGACTTGAAGTGATTTTTCCACTTTCGTTTTATCGAACTTTAAATTCGATAAGAGTAGTAAAATATCGTTTTCTCCATCTGGGATTATGGGATAAATATTTATTTTACGTAGTGTTTTCGAAATATTATCCGTCAGTCTCGATGTAGTTGTGTAAATAAATAAGCGAATGCTTGATTCTTTCGATAATAAAAGCAGTTCGACGTAACCCGAAACATGCACTTTTAGTTTGCAATTCCACGTGTTTGTATTATTTCAATTCGTAACAGGCTGATTTGTTTGGGTTGATAGGCTCTCGAAATGCTTGCAGTAACAATTAGAATTATTTTGAAGGAAGTAGTTTCAAGGTGCAATACGAGAGTGGTTAACAGTTCTACTAAATCTGTCAGCTAAGATAACATACAGATATTCAAGTTTATTGCACGGTACTTGGACACTATTATACGTCTACTACCCCGAGGCAGCTTAACCAGGTTTCCAGGTAGCTTAATAAGCTCCTCAGGCCGCTTAACCAACTCCTCAGGCAGCTTAACCAACTCCCCAGACAACTTAACCAGCTTAATAAACTACTTAGGCAACTTTTGTTACTCTTATTAAAAAATTAATTCTCAGTGTGAGGTGTCAAAGAAATCTGGATAGTGGTCATAAATTTCGATGAGATTTAATTGTCCAAAAATGAAATGTTGATCTCCTAGGAGTTTGATAGTCAGGGCATTAAAAATGTTTGGATACCTTGCTACAGTTTGATGAAAGTGTACAAATTTGATTATTGTTTATACTATATAAAAAATGACTGTTTTTATAAAAGCAAATATTTACAATGGAAATATGTATTAGTCTGAAGATTTCACTACATTCTTTCAGTAAAGGCCTGCATGGAATGCATGATGTTTGAGTGGAAATACAGTTTTTAATAATAATAGAGATATTAAAATGGTATTGTTCTCTCTGTTTGCAGGTAATATGACATTCGGCCGAGACGCGATCGAAGCAGAGACATAAAGGTGCGTAATTTCCAACTTGTTAAACACATTAAAGCGCATTAAAGTAGAACGATCGTATTTTAATTACCTTAATAGTGAATTTCTAAAGCGCTAAACGGGTACAGATGGCACAGCGACCGTGGAATTTTCCTAATAAGACACCCACATAGAAAATTACGTAATTTCCTACGTTTTTCATCCTCATTCTAGAGCATAAAATCAGCAATCGCGACGAACAACTGGCATCATTTTTCCTATGGAACGAAACGCTGCAAGATACCATTTTTAGTCTCTGTCGAGTATTTTTATAAGCATGAAGTACGTTGCACTGCTATTATAGAGACCATAAATGCAACGATTTATCGTACAGTAGTCGTATGTCAACTTGTAATGATGTTTGTATTGGAAACGTTTTATGACCAACACAGTAACAATTCCACACAGTAACTATAGTTCAAACAGTAGTATCAACGACAGTTGTATAAGCTACCGTAGAAGAAATTGTAACATCTATGGCTCTTATTAGATTATATAACATATTTAAGTAGGGCCTCTCCTTTGAAAGTGATTAAAATCCTAGAAATATTTCTTGAAACTGATTAATTAAGTAATAAAGCACAAGTTATCGAATAAACTAAAAAATGGTAAGATAGTAAGCTTTATTTGAAACGTAATAGATTCTCAGAAGAATTGGGGACCATTCAGGAATTAGTGAACCCTAAGATAGGTTCTGACGTTGAAAACCGTGTAAATAATAAGGTATATCGATTATTAAAAGAGTACTAAATAAATATAATCAATCTGGGTAGAAATAATTTGCAGGAAAAAATTCAAATTCCGACGTCATTTTTACAGACGAGATCAAATTTAATATCTTTGATTCCGATGGAAAAATAATTGCGCCGGGAAAATCGAATATTGCAATGAATATTAAATATCTTCTATCCGCGGTCAAATTCAAAGCTGGATGACAAATTTAACCATTGCGTTTTTCCGGATTTTTCGATTTCAGAATGTCGGAATTCCTTTTTTTCTTTTATCTCGAGATTCTGGAATTCCACGTGAAAATTTTCGAGAATCTCGAGAAAGCCTTGTCACTTCTAACAGTGGCTCAATTATGGAGAAAACACTAGTAGTTTTGGAACTGCATGTGTGTAAAGTTTAATTATTTTTAATACGTGTTGTTAGACCGTTCTGAGACAGTGGAAACCAGAGATTCGCTCCTTTCATCTTTGCTATATATTTCCTATTTATATCAGAAGCTAACCAGAATTTGATACCAAATTTTTATAAAAAAATATAAATTGTTCAACCGGTTAGATGAAGATGGTTAGTGTTACGCAAGACAGACTACATATTTTTTTCAGAAAACAAATAATAAAAGTAGAAGTGAATATTGAAAAAATTCATTGTACTCTACCTCTCAACATGGAACACCCTGTATATACGAAGAACAAATATTTTTTAGTCGATCAACGTTTCCGTTGATGGCTCATTATTCGAAACGGAAGGGAACAAAAGGAATCTATTTGCTTGTTTGCGTGTTTGACGAAACAATTTCGACGAAAAATAAATCGTTTGTACGGCGTTGCAATTTCATCGCGTGCACGGTGAATTTCAAAAAGAAAATGATGGAAATGAGGAAATTCTCCTGGAACGTCGTAGCACGAGCGGAATAATATACGCACATTTGCATAGAAGTTCGTACGGCGAGAACCTTAGCGCGACTTGTTCCTTTTAACTTGAAATTGTTCTCGTTCGGAAATTTAGAATCTCTTCTTTCCTCAACTTACAAGTGGAACTTCGGTCCTCTAAGAACTATTCATTCTTTACTCTCCTTGAACTCTGAACTTCGGACTCTGGTAGCCTGGACGAAGTCTCGAAACGAACAGAAAACCGTTTCACTGAAATTAGTTATAAAAACTTTCGTTTAATTCTAGCGTTCGATAAATCTAGTTTCCGAGCTATGATCAATGTTCGAGGCGTTGACATATTCGTCTATTTATACTGTCGTTCATAGATCATAGAACACTTGTCTGTGTAGCTTAAAATAATTCAAACATTGAAGAACGTACAATTTACTGAGCAGATCTTATTCCTTCATTACGTTTTATTTAGTTATCATCAACTATTATTCTAACAAGTGGGAATTGTACGTGTAACCGAATTTTCAATATCTATTATCAAAGTATTTATCTGATAGTATCTGAAATCAAATTATTTCTGGAAAATATTTCAGAAAGATTGAAATGAAATTACTCGAGAAGTATATAAATAAATTATTTCTAAGCAAAGTAAAAAGAACATTTAAGATCGTTCAATAACTTTTTGGTAATATCATCGACAATGAAATATAATTTATATTTCCGCTGTATTGCGAAGAATCTAGGAGAGTTAGTTTCGATCTTTGTTAAAAAAAGTTGTACAGTATCGTTTAAAGGAAACTGTAATTCCACTTTGCATGCTCATCGTGGAACTTGGGGAAAAAGTCGCATCGTAGGATAATAGTGGCGATAAAACCGTACAAAATTCTCCTCTACGATTTTTGTCTACCTTCTTTGCTTGGAGCAATAGCCTGGCCCAGTTTCTAGAATCACCCTGTATAAAGTATCCGTACGAGAATACATGCGACTAATAGGATACTCGAGAAATCTTCGATATGCGATCGTATCGTGTTCGTAGAGCAAGCTATGTATTAGTTAGACTTCGTAACATAAGTTATTTATTCTTAAAAACTTCCTCGCGTCCAATATTTATGTTTCCTTTCGAGTTTCTGAAAAGTATACCTTATTAAGCCGGGTTATAATATAATACACTCGTACGTGGCGACAGGAATACTTTCGATATCTTGACCCTAGTTTATTTAATTTCCAAAACGAATAGAAAATACATATAGCAAATAATCTTTGTTACCAATGTTAATCAAATCTAAACGAATCCATACAAACTCCTTTACAAAAAAGAAGAAAATTTTATTTAAATATACAGGATGTTCGGCCACCCCTGGGAAAAATTTTAATGGGGGACTCTAGAGGACAAATTAAGACGAAAATCAGGAATACCAATTTGTTGATGTAGGCTTTGTTAAAAAGTTATTAACGTTTAAAGTTCCGCCTGTACTGAATTTTTTTCTCGAAAAAGCGCAGGATTTCGGGGGTATGTCTATTCGCCAAAAATTATTGTAATTGACCCCCGCAATCGAAAATAATTTTTCCAGAACGATTTGAAATTTTTGAATTTAATTGTTAATAACTTTTTAACAAAGCTTCCATCAACAAATTGGTATTCTTAATTTTCGTCTTATTTTGACCTCTAGAATCCTCCATTAAAATTTTTCTCAGGGGTTCCCATTAATGAAACAGAAACAGAATCGACAATAATTGTTGTTTGCAACATTAGAATGCTAGCAATCGTTAAATTATAGTATAACGAAAAAATGTAGAGCCACGATACGATAGAGCGAAATATTGTTAAAAACGGGAGGAATAGAGCGGAACAAAAACAAAATAAAAGCACGAAATTCAGTTAGACGCTAATCAATAGAAGCAACCGCTTGGAAAACCATAACCGACTGATTTTTTTTGCGGTCTGTCTAAACAATTTTAACGAAATATCGGAGGAACTCACGCAGTTTGCTCGTCGCATATTTTCCTTCATTCCTGAAATTTGTTCGGGCTTTTTTTTCAGAACAGTTGCAAACCGGACGGAGCAGGCGGTTTTTTTTTGGTTCGAAGCAATCTCGTTGCTCGATCAGTTGTTACTAAATGTACACATATTCGTTCTCATGCAGTACGGGAAAACCGAATCGTGGTGGAAATAACGTGTATTGCCTCTATTTCTGTTTAAATTAATTGATTCGTGCGTGCCTATCGGTTGGAAATAAAACCTCGTCAGAAACACATGATATCGGATGAACAGAGACAGGACGATTTACACGAGACTAATGTACGTAAAAATTAAATTCAAACGAAATTGAATCCCAGTATTATATAGTTTAGAACGTTGTTTTACGTAACGTGCTAGTCAATAATACACATTTAACAGAACTTCTTTGAGCAGAGTCGAAGAAATTAAATTGTAGAAGGTTCAGTAATCAAAATATTGAAAAAAGAAATAAAACTATATATTATCTCGCGAAATAAATACGCGCATATTGTTGGAAAGTCCAAATAATTTTATAAGGTATACAAACGAAATACAAAAGAATTGATAATTATTTATTGACACGAATTCGCAACATATTTATGACTTTTATTAATATCCAAATATATTATAGAAAAATCGTGAGCGTATAAATAACGTATTCGACAAAATCGATGTAAAATTTGTGCGGTTTATAAAAATAAAAAAAATATCTCTGAAAGAGTTTCAAACCCAGGTGAAAATAAACGAAAGATGAATTTATATTTCAATTTTATTAAAATCCCTGATATCGTGTGCAAAACGTGATCGATAGCAGGCGTGTACGAAGGCGGCTAGAGTGCCTCGATGAATACGATTGGTTAACTGCCAGACGCATTCTCTCGACGCGCGAGGATTACCATAAGAAGCCAACTCGTCCTCTGGTGACGTCTCTGTGCACCTTGGTTGCATCGTTATTAGACAGAATGGTGTACCGACCAATTGATGATAGCTGTAAATATCACCAAGTGTTTTTGTAAGTCAGTTTTGGCCCACATTCTACTTTCGTCATCAAACGATTCATTGATTCCTTATTTATAAAATCGATCCGTCCAAGTACTTTATGCAGAAATCCTGAAAATATACAGAAATAGTGTGACTCGGCGGTTCTTAACCTTTTATTTATTGCGAACTTTAAATAATTTTTCTCTCCCTCGTAAACAGTCTTCACATTTGGAGGATGGACATTTATTATAATAGTATTTGTACAAACAAGTATCATGCTTTCACTTGGATATTCCAAACGTTAATAGGAAGTTTGAATTCTACGATGATATAGTTAAGTTATTTTTGCAAGTTTCCCCAGACAACATGCACAGTTTAGAAATTAAAATATGACT